TGGTATAACGTTTGACGACTTGATATTATTTGGAACGTTTCATATTTATATTGCGAGTTTTGGCATTTTAATATTGGCTTTGATATTATATCTACAACTTTCATAATATTGTCCGTAACGGAACGCCATAGTCAAGTGGACTCGGCAGCAAAAATCGAGGGAAATTGAAGAACTTTCAGTTTTTCATATCTGCCAGAGAATGGCGAATTACTGCGATTTTTAGAGACAAGCTCTCAAAATAGAACATAATGTAAAACATAACAAAACGGCGAATATGCAGATTAGGCCATCTGAAATAATGGTATCGTTTGGATATTGGTAATGTTGGGATAGTAGCGTTGCAGAGGAGAGTGAGCATGCAGTCAGGCTCCTTCATGCATCATCCCATGAACAACCCGCACCCCTCCTTGCTGATGAGGCTAGATCTGCCTCTAAATTTTACATGTGTAATTGTTTTTAGATGACAGAGTATTCATTCAAGGTGCAGCAGCAACTCCATTGCCTCTTATTAAAGCCATGGCAGAACATGGCAAGTCAGCAGGATTGACGAATGTTGAAGTGATTCACATTCATACAGATGGGAAAGCCGAATATGCATCAAAAGAGTATGAAGGTAATTATAAATATTGCCTGGCAATATTGTGACCCAACAACAAGATGGCCGCCGTCTTAGGATCAAGTAGCCTGCGGTGCAGACGCAATTTCCCGCAACGTACCTGCCGTGGCGGGAAACCGCGAGCGGGCACCGGTCCGGGCAATCTTTATTAGACAATGTTTCGTTTCTGGTTTATACGATTTAAAGAGGTTTCCCTTGAATTTACAAAATAACGTGCTAAAATTATTCTTAATAATAGTATATTGTTTGGTTTATCTAACTATTGTTGTTTATAAACTTTACAATCATAGAAACGTTTAACAATTAACTAGAAAATACATGCATGCAGAAACCCTCGCCTTCCTGACAAAACCATTGTATTTTCCGAACATGAAGTATCTAAAGTAGTTGTCATGGTAACACGATAATTTTTTAAGAATATTCTTACAAATGACAAATCGCCTAAAAATATCACTTTTAATTACAAAATTATTAATTTCCCAACATATATATATATATATATGTTAGGTATGTTATTAATATACGTAATATAAGCCTCAAATTAAGGTAAAACGCTTCGCAAAACGTTTTCAAAGTCACTATAGTGTTATAAAATTATAAAACTGCTTTTTAAAATGGCTTTATCGATAAACTTTGAGTTTGCAAATAACTTTGCTTTCTTTTTTATTTAAAAAATTCAATATCATAAGAAAGGAATCAATATTAAAGATACACTGAAATTATATGCTGTTTTGTTTAGTTGTTTCATATACGCAAAGGGCGTCGGGTTTTAAATCCATTATAAAATCAATATTTAAAACAAACTTACCTTCGTTAGCGTCGGCTCCCTTCTTTTAGCCGATTTTTTCGCAGTTTCTTTCTCAGAGAGCTTTTGAAATTTACAAAATCTTACAAAAATGCGAGCAAAATGAAATACATTTGCAAGAAATTTATCAATCAAATCATCAAATCAAGAAATGTTTGCTATTTTGCTGTCGTCATGCAGTCGTTATAATGCAAACTTTAAATTGGACCAATCAGTGTCCGCTATTCGTGATAGTCCACCATATTTTTGAGATCAGTGAGGATGACCACCCACCCAACACCGTTGGTGAACCACGCCCGCGATAATTGATGAACTTTAGACTCCGCTAATGCTTTCGTTTTCCCGGGTGTAAATAGCCGGGGGGAATTAGTACCATCGCACGGCGCTTCGCGCCGTCGGCTCGGGGACAATGATTGAAGGTATGGTTAACAGGACATGAGTCCCATGTGAAGACCAACCTAATACAAAACAAGAAGTAGACACATTTTAAAGACAAAGACTAGAACACTATTTACATAATTATAAAAATCAATAAGGTTAGATTATGAGCAACAGTTTTTCCAAGTACATGCGCATTCTGTTAACACCGAAAGAAGAGTCTATAATTGAGAAGAGTAGTGAATATGGAGCTGGAGCTTAACGGATGAAACAGACGAACTGTTAAGAATGATCGGAGTGAGATTGTTCGATACAAAGACAATTCGGTTAAAAAAAGAGTTTCTAAAAAGAGAGGTTTAGCACGGATTGACTTGAAACAAGTTGTCTTTGCTTGAACAAGGACAAAAACGAAACAAGAACTAAACACAGGCACAAGAACGATCAGTACGTTACATTTACAAATTTGTTGATTTTATTGCGTCGACGGTAGACATGGTTTATTTTGCTACGAAATTGTGCGAAACACTATCTTTCTCCTCGCGAAGCTTTGTTTCTTAGGCCGCGGGAGACGTTATAATGTGCCTCATGACTGTGCATGTTGGGAAATTATTCGCTTTGAGCCTTCGACGTACCTGCTTCTTAAAACTACTGTGTAAATTAAGCACCAAACTCATCTAAGACAACATAGGCGGATTGTGTGCTTGATTTACACAAATATATGTACGCATGTATATAGGACGAAATGTTCTCTGGTGAATGATTCCAAACCGCTGAACAGATGGAAAATTTGTCTGAGCATGCGCGGGCAAAATGAGCCACGCAATGGACCTATTCCCTAATGAACAAAATTTTGATCTATACAAGTCTAGACAAACATGTCACCACAGCTTGAAAGAGCATCACAAAATTAGTAATATTCCGAAGTTTCGTTGCGAAATGTTGTAAAATGCGGATAATATAGCCCTGCGAAGTTTGCCGTTTTTCAGTCATTTTGTATTACGCGCGGGAAATTTGATACCGCTTTCTGAAAAAAGCTATCAATTTCCCATGCGTAATACAAAATGACTGCATGAAAAACGGCAAACTTTGCAGGGCTATATTATCTGCATTTTACAACATTTCGCAACGAAACTTCGGAATATTACTAATTTTTTGATGCTCTTTCAAGCTGTGGTGAAATGTTTGTCTAAACTTGTCTAGATCAAAATTTTGTTCATTAGGGAATAGGTCCATTGCGCGGAATACACGTTTACAAAAAAGGCTGAATTGTGTAAATATTGCCAAATGTTTGGTACAAAATAAATGACTGTTTTATGTTGAGAATGGACATGCATGGTCTAAATTAATCATACAGATTTTTTTAGTGACTTTCCAGTTCAGTACCCCATGGTGTGCTGTTCGTGTGTATTCGATCTGAAACGGTTGCTACTTTGCTATCGAAACATTTCGAATGGTCACATTGAAAATAGAGGCAAGTTATGCATTTTATAACTGTATGAGCCCCTATTTTTACGCGTATACTTTAAGGTATCAAATAAAAATACATGAAACCAGAGAACATTTTTAGAAATTTTTATCGTGAGGCCGGCCAACGGCCAGTTTTTAAAATATCTTCATTTCTATTCTAGTCATCACCAAAATTACATGAAGTTGGGATTGAATATACAACAAATTTTGAATCTCATCAAGTAGAAAAATATGAAAAAACGTCTAACCAAGATATGCTCATGAAATCGAAATTAAGGGCTACATTTTAAAATTATAGACCCTTATCGAGGCGGTTTTGATAAAGGAAGTTCACCTTTCGGCCTTTGATTCTTGGCAAAGATTTGACCACACTATACGTGCGAAGCAACTGGGTCTCAAAGACTTAGCTCAAACATCATGAACTCCTATTTTCGAGACAATATGTTTGATACATTCAAACGCCAAAAAGGTTTTTCTTTTCATTCAGCTATATTTGAAATTGAGTTAAAAAATACTGTTCAAAGTCAAGCTATTTTTACTATTTTCAAAATTCGTAGAATTGCGCGAGCTTGTATTTTGAACTTAGACCGCTGAAGTTACATTAAGAAACATAGGATGGAAAATTTGAGGAATATATAATTAATTTTAGCTTACATTTCATTCTCATATCATGATTTTCTTCGTTGATTAGGGAGTGTTCATTATTTATACCCGGGGTTGGTACCGAAGAGAAACTAATCGAAAAGAGAAAAAACAACCACCCACCCTTTTGATCAACCATTTTTTCCCCTACCCAACTATTGCATGACTTGGATTTTTATTTTACCCAACCCAATTTCAAAATTATACAAGTATTTTACATATATATACATATATATTATTATACAAGCTATGCCACTATAGTATAAACAGTACTGTGCATATTTGGTGCACTAACTGAATATCAAATATAATCATTTGTACCTTCACAAGTTCATATTATGTGCAAGCCTCCACGTTTCTGCAGTCCTACCATATCTCGTTGTTGTAATCAGAGGGGATGGGGAGTTGGAGTTTAGTTTTCTATGTGGGGAATGAATGGATATTTCCTGGAATGACCCATTTTGTTAAATAAAGGATTTTCATATTTTGTTCAATTGAAAGTTTGTATTGAAAATAATTTACCCAACCATAGGCTTTGTTCAAAAAATATTTACCCTTTCGTACCCCAGAAAAATGGCTTACCCAACCCATTTCTCTTCGGTACCAACCCCGGGTATAAATAATGAACACTCCCTTACGGTTTTAAGCAAGCCATAGTTCGACGTATACGGTAATTGCTCCCATGTTCACGTTACCATATTCACTTCTTCCAATCACTCGATTGCAAAACAAATCATTCATCCCCAAACAAGGAATCCATGATCGATCTTTAGAAGAATAACCGTTAATTCGTAAGTCGTTTGAATGGAAAGCAAGTAATCGTCAGCTAATACAGCTTCTTGCTAACTTTCTGTTTTGTTTTGATTGGTCCGAATTGATTTATCCGAAGCATTTGACAGTATCAGTCACGAAATGTTATTAATTAGGAAAGGTGGAGGCTACTGGTGTATCTCCAACTGCCTTACAGTGATTTAAATGTTTCCTGGAAAATCGTAAACAGTACGTGAAAATTGGCTCAAGCAAGTCTGCTCCTCTAAACATTACATATGGGGTCCCGCAAGGATCGATCTTATCCCCATTGTTATTGAACATCTACACAAACGACCTCCCATCCATAACAACAGAATTGTCGCTGGATTCATACGTCGATGACAGTAAAATTTCATTATCTTTTTCGATCAAAGTTAAATCGGAAGCAGAAAGGGTCTTGGAAGAATATTTAAACATTGTAGCCAGATGATGTTGTGCAAACTCGCTTCTTCTAAACCCGGCCAAGAGAAAATTCTTATTAATTGGTACACCGCAGCTGCTATAAGCGTATTCTCTGAGGGTATTACGTTCAATTTCCTGGGTAAACGATTACACCCAATTTTTACAGCTAAAGATTTAGGAGTTGTTCTAGACTCACATTTAAGTATGATACCCATATTAGTGAACTGGTTTCATCATATTTATTGAAACTCTGCCAGATTAACAGAATACGTCATCTTCTAGACCGCGAAATCCTTTCGTTTTGAGCAAATTATTCTACTGGTCAGTCGTGTGGTCAAATACAACGGCGAAAAATGTGAAAAAAATGCAATTATAGTTCAAAATTTTGCTGCCAGGATTATAATAAAGTCGATCACAATCACGCCTGTGCTACATGATCTAAAGTGGCTGCCTGTTGATAGATATTTGATATATAGAGATACTCTTCAGATATATAAGTGCTTGAAGGGACTTTCAAAAAGATCAATTCCAACAACGAACGTCTATTCACCACGGGCCACCAGGCACATTAATGACCTGGTCATTCCAAAATTTAGAACATCTACTGGTCAGAGGACATTCCATTTCCGTGCAGTAAAGCTATGGAACAATTTTGATGATAGCATTAAATATATTGACAACTTTAAAAGTTTAAGATAGAACTTAAGCAATATATCTTATCGTGCTAAGAGGGTGTATAACTCCAAATATTTATTTTTATATTATAATATCAAACATAATACTTTAATATATGTAGTTGTGAACGTATTGATATTTTTAAATTTGAATCTACATTTTATAATCTTATAAATACTTTTTGAAAAGCCGGAATGGTAGTCTCCTACGCAGCCTGTTCGCGGGTCCGAGGTTTTGGGGAGAAAACTCGGACCTGCGAACAGGCTGCGTGGGAGACTATGTAAACCGGTCTTCGTCTAAATACGTCTTACATCCAGCAATCACATGAAGCAGCGTTTCAGGTGCATGAGGCGGAGCAGAAAGAGCAAACGGATCTTTCGCAGAAATTGGGCCCGTAGACTCAACGACTTTTCCAGCAGTCCATGGAAACTTCGGGTTTGAATAATTTCTCACGAAAACATCGTCACCAATGGAGACTGAACGCTGTCTTACGTGTTCATCACAATGTCTCTTCTGCTTATGTTGAGCATAACGTACAGTTTTCCCAACATCTGGCTGTAATAATGTCAAGTGTGATCGTAACTTGGTTCCCCATCTTAATTCCGCGGGCGATATACCTGTCGTGGTATGCGATGTGGTTCTATACTTAAATAGGAATCGAGATAAACGAGTTTGCAAAGTTCCACTCTGCTTCTTCATCGCTTTCTTAAACGTTTGCACAGCTCTTTCGACTAAGCCATTCGTTGAAGGATGATAAGGGGCAGATTTTACATGTCGAATTCCATTATTTTTCATGAATTCCTCGAATTCCTTGCTCACGAAAGCTGGACCATTATCAGAAACTACCATCTCCGGTAATCCATGATTTGCAAATGTCATGCGGAGTTTCTCGACCGTTGACTGAGTATTGCACGAGTTGGTTATGTGAATATCCAACCATTTCGAGTGAGCATCGATTATCAGTAAAAACATCTTGCCCATAAAAGGGCCTGCGTAATCGATATGTATACGGGACCATGGTCGGTGTGGCCATTCCCAGGGATGTAAAGGTACTCTTTGGGTTGTCCTCTGGTGTACTTGACATGTTGAACATTTCTTTGCCTTTTCTTCTATTTCTTTATCGATTCCTGGCCACCAAACATGTCCACGAGCTAAACTTTTCATTCGTGACATTCCCGGATGAGTATCGTGTAAAAGATTCAGGACGTCCGTTCTTCCTTTGGGAGGAACCATTACCCGCGATCCCCATAACAGACATCCATCTTGAACACTAATCTCGTCTTTTCGTGTGAGGTAAGGCTTAATGTTCTCATCATTCACTTGCGATGGCCACCCTTGAAGTGTAAACTTAAGTACTTGTGATAGTACGGGGTCTCGCAAGGTCCACTGTTTGATCTTCAAAGCATCCACTGGACTTTGATTGAGGTGGTCCACCAAATTTACTACTTCTTGTGGTATTGGTGTAGACTTTGGCTCAATTTTCAAAGGTAGTCTGCTAAGAGCATCTGCATTTCCGTTTTCTTTACCAGGACGATATATCAGGTCATACTCGTACGCTGCTAAAGTCAAAGCCCATCATTGGATTCGGCCGGATGCCATTAAT